ATGAAGCACATGAAGGTAAGAAATAAGCATAAACCATCAAAGGCTTCACCTAAGCAATGATTTATCAAAGTTCTCCAACTCCATGCCATTAAAACTATTCCATGATCTCACTACCATTGTCACCATGAGAGTGCAAGCAATATGATTTAAAGAATAAACCATCTAAGATAGATAATTGACTCAACATTAATCATTTAAATACATGAAGATCCATTACAAGAGGCAAAATGCTCTAGACCATGAAAGGACCAAAGATTATACATTGCAATCCCTAAAATAGAACTATACTAGGACATGCTTACAAGGGAGGGGCTTCATCACCTCCCTAGAAGAAGATTTAGTTACCCATGGAAACTCTAAAGGAAGGAAGAAGCTTGGTCTCCATCCCCATTTTCGAGTTCCTTTGTTGTAGCTTCAAGAACTCTCTCTTCTCCTCCTCCTTCTCTCTCTAGAAATCTTGCAAGATGAGATATGATATTGATATGTGGTTCCCCTCACCTTTTTGTAGACATCCTCCTACCAAACCCTTCCAAACAAAGCGCAACTCCCCTCCAAAAGACATCTCCAACCAACCCATAAAGATGGAAATCATGAATGAGGGAATCAAGGTGCAAATGGGCTGAAGTGATGGATCCCGGAGAGCATTTTGCTCAAAGTTCGAGTGCTTTAAATAAGCACTTCGAGCGCTCGAAGTTTGGCCAGAATGCTCCTTTCTCTTGACCTACTTTGCACTACTTTGGTAAAATAGCCATAACTTTCTGCTCCGAACTCCAAATAACGAACCGTTTGAAGATTTGGAAAGCTAATTCAAAGCTCTAAATACGCCATGTTTTAATGGAAGTCTAGTTCTTGAGTTTGTAGGCCAAAAATGGTGACCAAAATCAGACTCCACTGCTGCCAGAACTTTAGCCTTGAGCACATTGTTAGTCAAAGATTGAACAAAACATCATTTTTGCTCCTTTTTAGCCAATAAACCTGAAAATATATAAAAACATGCAAATGAAGATAATCTATATAGAATAATCAAATAATGGACTTAAGTAATGTAGCTAAAGGCGCTTGAATATGCAATATTCAGCGCTTATCAAAAAGCATAGCTCTTCAACTCTAAACTTAAACTCTTTCCTAGGAAGTTGCGTACCAAATGGGAAGGCCCATATGAAATCATTTCTATTATGCCTCATGTGGCAGTTGAGATAAAGAGCTTAAAAGTTGGCAATGCAATCAAAGTAAATGGGCAAAGGTTGAAGCCCAACATTGAAAGGCAAGTTTTTCAAAGACATATGGAATCCGCCCTCTTGGTGGATCCAGTTTATGTTGATGTATAGAACTGTTTGATAGTCTAGAGACGTTAAACCTAGTTCCAATAGAGTTTCCAAACTCTATTTCTCCATTTCCTCTTTAATCTTTCCAAGCATGTTGTGAGTTTTTCAAAATTTGCATTCTTTAAATTTCAAAGGCTGGAGTCTTCTATCAATTGATCTGAATTTTGATCAATCGAAAATGCGTCAAAAATGTTCGATCGGTCGAACAATGGTCTTAATTGATCAAAAATAATTTCAATCGATCAAGTTTGCATCAGAAATTTTTGATCCTTGGCCTCAGTTTTTCAGCGGTTTTGATCGATTAAAGAATTTTTGATTGATCAAAAAAATAAAAAACTAAAAATATATATATTTTGCCTTATTGTGTAGTCTTGCTAATTTCATTTTGGGCTTGCACTTTCTTCTCTCTTCCATCCCATGCCATATTGCATTTACATGTTTAATTCTATTTCATTTGATATTTGATTGTAATTGCTAGTGTGACCATTTTCAGACAGGTTTTCAAAATCTAAGTTTGGGGATGTGCCTTCCAAAGCTAAGCTTCTGTTGCCGGGTTCCTTTTGCTACACCCATTTGGTATACTCTTTCCATTATCTGTTGCTTCTCTGCATATTGCGGACAATGCACAGATTAATTTTGGGGGTGTGTAAGCATATTTTACATATCACACTTAGTTTCTATGCATGTGGTATGATTTGAGAGTCTAGAGCCATGATTTTGGTCTTTTAAGGACCATGATACTTAGAATTTAAAAATTGCTTAACTTGAGAGTCCAATACTCCTTGTGTGCTTTGTGGATGTCATTTAGGAGTAAATTTTTCGAAAAATTGATATCTCGCTTGCATTTGTGGTCCACATCATCCTGATTTTGTGATTGTTTTAAGATACACTCTAGGATTCTATGCTAGCACAGGTGCACATTATCATTCATTTGTATGGTACATGCTTTGTTGACCATTGATCTAATTATATCCCAATTGACCTAATAGTGCATTAAAAGCTTTCATTTTTGACAAAGGTGGATAACAAATCCTTTTCACTAAGTAGCCGGGATTCTAGCCTCATCAAATACTGAATTTCTCACACCAAAAGTTAGGGCTCAGGCTCTAACTTTAGGAGCAAAGCTCAAGCTTTCTTGAAGTATTGCTCGAGCTTCAAAAGATGGTGCTCGAGCTTCAATTTTGTACTCAGTCAAATTTATTCAAATATTTTCCGAAGGGTCTTTTCCTTCAACATTTAGAATATTTCAGGGTTCTTTTCTTTTAACAGTGCTCGATCCAATCTTCATGAGGCTTAAACTTTTGGTGCTGGGCTCGAGCTTTTGGTGCTCAAGGCTCGAGTTTTGAATGATGGCGCTCGATCCTTGAGGTTTGGCATGAGACCGTGGAAGCTTGGTTCTTCATTTCAATCAACTCTTCAAATTCTGACACCTCATACTCGAGCTTAAGGGTCAAGGCTTGAGTGCCCTTGGTTAGGGCTCAAGCTCTGAAGGTACAAGGCTCGAGTGTTAATGCCTTGTTAATTTTTTTCTTTTTCTTCTTGCAGGGCTCGAGCCGTAGGACTTAGGCTCGAGCTTTAGGACTTGCATTCTTCCAAACTTCACCATTTAAGCTCTCAGCTTGCTTTGAATGACCAGCAACGACTCTGTAAGCTTTGATATCAATCTTTTCATCATAAGGTACCGATTTTAATCGTTTATCTGGAAAAGTACCTATAAACACACAATAAACATAAATCAATCTAACAATGGATAAAAGTATCACTTTAGGCCTTAACATACGTATATTTAAGGGCTCGAATATACAATATTCAACTCTCATCACACCCCCAAACTTACATATTGCTAGTCCCTTAGCAATACAAAACTAAAAAACTGCTTTCATGGGAATCACAGTTGCATTTACCTTATGCAATAAGCCTTTAAACCCCTAGGTTAACCCTAGCCGACGAATTATAGTCTCGTGAGGGTTTCCAATGATGGTACCCATAAACATCTCAAACAGTGCCTTAATTGCACAATAAGCTCATTCAAGCCTATTTTCAAGTCATGATATCCCTGCAACTCATCAGTCAATCAAATATAGCTAGTACAACTAATTATATTAATCAGAAAAACTTTCAACTCCCAATTTGAATTTGGCAGCCATGGTTCCCATATGTCAATTTAATCATTTATTCAATAATTTTAATCTCCAAAAGATTTTAGTAGTGAACTTACAGTCAAACATGTGGCTTACTGTCTATTCTTGCATTTATTCATTGTTATTCATCAACTCACAAGCAAACTTTTCAAAATTCCAACTCCCAAGGCATTATTATTTCTCTACTGGTATGCATTTTTCGAAAAGGATATTTTGCAATGTTCAAGTCTATTAAGCTTTCTAAATCATCCATGTAACGAACTTTCGGCCAATAGTTCCCAAGCCAGACGGTTTTAAGGCATTAAGTGGTAAAGCACCCCTCCGGACCTAATTGTTAAAGTAATCTACGCAACCTAAACCCCTTATGTAATAAGCTTTTAGCCAATAACTCCCAAACTAGATAGTCTTAGGGCATTAGGTGTCAGAACACACCCCTAAGGACATAATTGCTCAAGCAATCTAGACACAAACCTGAACTTGACCCATTTCTATTTCTTTTCTTCATTTTTTATTCATTTTTTTTTTCTCTCATTCACATTGGTGAAGAAATTTTTTTCTTTCTTGCTTGCATGCATACCTTTTTAAAACTTTTTTTTCTTATTTTTTTAATGCCTCGGTTATCAAAATCATCAAATGCACCTGCTAATCTCAGTTTAACTCAAAACAAAACAAGATTTCTAGTCTATACCCCACAAAAAATCATGTAAGTATGAATATGTGTAAAGGTATTTCATAGATCAATTTCATCAAACAATAACCATCCTAACAAAGTGGACCATAGGCCACCAACTAATTTCAAAAATTTTTAAGAATCCTTTTCAACATTCTATTGTCATACAAACCATTTCTAACCAATATCAAACTACAAAAATAATACTTGATAATCAATAGACTCAAAATCATGCTTGTAACATCAAATTGTAAAACCTTGTGCTATTCCAGCAAATATTTTGAATTTCCCCTTACCCCCAAACTTAGTGTACACATTGTCCTCAATGTGTGAAAACATAATAGAGTTAGAAAGATATTACCATAAAAACAGACCAGCAAAGATATACCAAAATGAAGCACAAGAGGGCAAAGTAAAGAAATCACTCCCAAACTTAATCTGTAATACCTGGCAAAATAAACAATCTCCAACACACATCAAAGTATCAAGTATATGGAGTAATATCAGAGAAATAACATATGGAGCTCATATACCAACACAAGTATTAGACAGGAAAAAAGCACATATATATATGATTATAATCATACAATGCTTTTAAATAACAGACTTGGGGCAGAAATATAGCATAGAGAATTAAATATATCAGAAATACTGCCCTAGTCAATAAAAGTGCCTATCTATCAAAAGAAAATACAAAAAAGCCCTAGACAGCTAATCCATATGAGGTGGAGGAGTCTCAGTAGAAATAAAATGAGCAGACGGAGTGCGGCGTAGTAGCTCCTCAAGAATGCTCTACTGTGCAGTCAGCATCTGTCTCAGCATTGTCTGTCCGTCCTGCAACTCTGCCACCTGGGCCTATAAAACTCTAATCTCAGCCTGAGAAGAACTCTCAGGCTGTGCTGTAGGAACTGGCCTCCTCCTAAGTAAAGCTTGGCCATCAGAGAGATCCATCTCATCCTCTGTGGCCTCATCATCAACCACCTTAGTAGTAAATTCTATATAACCCTCATCTCCAAACTCTACTGTATTTGGGCGACTCGCCGGCATATGTGTCCGCACCTTATTCTATTCCTTCAATCCAAACAGAGGAGATTCAGCACAAGACTCCTCTTTCTTATCCACCATAAAACCCTGTAGCTCTAATAGCCTAGTAATTATATATGGAAAAGGTAGATTATAGGTAGGAACATTTTTATGCAGTCCAATCTCGAACCAAAAGTCCAATAGCTGACAGAAAATCATCCGAGGAAATGAATACCAATGCTCAAACTGAATAGCATAGAGTGCGTGAAGAAAGTCCATATTCTGAATATTCTTATGCCCAAGAGGATGAACATTAGCAGAGATAATGGAATCCAAAATCCATAACCTCTTCAGAATTTTAGCTTTGGTAGTACTACATCGTTTTCTTCTAGCAAACCTTCCATCACATAACTTTTGAATCAAATTTTTTGTAATTGATACCCTAGGGAAAGGTGTGAAATTAGGACAACTACGCCTCTCATCAACCACTGGAGGAAGTTTATGATAACATTCTAAAGCTGTGGCAATAGCATAATGATTAACAATCAAGTTATGCCCATCTATTATAGTTTTAAGCTCCCAAGGGTCATCCTTATTATAAACAAGATTAAGATAAAACAACTGAACCATATCTTGGTAATAGGAACCATAAGATGCAAAAGATGCCTATAACTAAAATACTCCATAGCCCATCTAATGCGAGGATCAGTGATGAACGCCTCATAATCAAAGGTCATTTCATAAGAAATTGGAATTATCTTCTAAGCACTTGGAAAAACAGTTTTAGTCACCCTGGCACGCTTAGAAGGAGCAGGACGAACCATCTTAACTTTTAATTAATAATAACCTCCAAGAAATTGCTCAAAATCACCAAAAATCTTCAATTTATGCAATCTGGAAACTAAGGTTCGAGCTTAACTGTCCAAGCTTGAGCTTGAACCAATGCTCAAGCTTCAAATTGTAAAGCTTGAGCTCTACCTAAAACTACACCAGAATAAATTTCAGAAATCAACATAGAGACTAACCCAAGAGTCCTTTAAACAATCAGCATATGTAGATAACTCAAGAAAACTCAAAATAATCATGCATCCAAAAGAAATTCCATGCTCTCTGATGGGCTACAAATGTGTACCACTTTAAAAATACCACTTATAATAATAACACAAGTCAATATAGAATAATGCTATAGTAAAGGGTTGTCGACCCATAAGGATTGCTAGTTTATGGCAACTAAAATTGTAAAATTACTTTTTAGTTTGATAAAAGAGATAATAGTTTAATTGATTTGTCACTTAAACTATGAATTAAACTTGTATAAAAATAGTAAATAAAATGAATAGAATGGATTGAACTTATAAAGAGAAGGCTAGGGAATTGACTTCACCTCAACCTTATAAACATGTCAACTTGCACTTAACTTGGGGATATATAACTATATATATAAAATGATGTGTAAAAGCATAAAGCAACCACAACATCTACAAGAAAATCATACATTTAAGGATTAAGCATAACCCATTTTTGGTTGGCATGGTTCATCCACCTAAACTAGGTTGTGGAATGAACCATCTTCCCTAGGCATGGCCTATCAAGGTTGTTTAATTGTATGTTGCAACACATGAAATCAATTATCTATCATAGAGTATCTTCAGTTGGTATAGATCATCTACCTAACTACATTAATCTAAAGGTGTAGCATGGTCCAACTTCCTTAAGTATAATCTATATAAATTCTCAATTACATGCCAATAAAACCATTTCATAAATTCCTTCCCATTGTCACTATAGGAAATCAAGTGCATAATTGTATCAATATGATTTCTAAGACAAGATAAACATATCAACTTAATTATATATTCACATGAACATCACATACATTAATTCAATGTAAAAACACATTAATTCAATGTAAACACCTTCATTTATGAAATCAAATATATACAAGAAGAATCCCCAAATTGAAATAGCAATTACAACATATTTACTTGGTCTAGGTTACATCAACTCCCTAGGAAAGGAAGTTAGCCTCTCATGGATATGATAGCAACTTTAAGGATTGAAGAAGAGAAAGATTTCCCTTTCAGCCCCATTGTTGCAAAACTCAGCATAAAAACCCTAAGGAAAATTCTCTCCCCCTCTCTATCTTTTTAGAAACCAAACTAACTGATTTAATTCAAGCCTCTGCCCTCTCTTTTATCCCAAGATGAGTTTCAAAACAACCCAACTCATTAAAATTCAAATTCCCCCTTAATATGGAACAAACTCTGACTTATTCAAAGTGGGGGCCCGTAGGCTTGCATCCGAACGCGAAACATGGCATCTGGACGTGAGGTACTACTAGTTGGCATCCGGAAGCGAGTTCCTGCGTCCGGACACGAAGCATGCTGCTTGGCTTCTTTTTTTCTTCTACAGTACTGGTTGTATCCATTGCCTGTTTGGGCCATATCTTCTTAAAAACTACTTGATGTTTATGCCCGATATAACTTGTTCTCCAAAAACCTTTAAGACATTATTTTTATTCCTTTTTAACAATTAGACCTACAAAAACACAAAAACATGAAAATGGAGATAATCTATATACAAATATCAACTAATAGGCTTAACTAATGCAATTAAGGGTGCTTGAATATAAAATATTCGGCGCTTATTACACCCCCAAACTTACATTTTGCTAGTCCCTCAGTAACACAAAATGGAACACACAATGAAAAAAAAAAACATATTTCTCCTCTTTCGTGGAAGTGACGATTGCATTTAGCAAATGCAATAAGCCTTTAAAACCCCTAGGTAATCCTAGACAACGAGTGAAGTCTCATGAGGATTTACCAAAAATGATACCCACAAACATTAAGTAACAAGGCTCATTCTAGTATAAACTAAAACATGTGACTTTGGGGGAAAAGATTCTATCATGAAGACTACAACAAGTATGCATACAATGACATCTCAAAACAATATTCAATTCACATCATTCATGCATCAACAAAGTAGTCCACATACATGATCTTCAACATCTCATTTATAATAGAATTTCATCATAAGTTCCTTATAAGTGAACCAGAATTTAATTTTATTTTTATAATGCACTTTTAACCCTTTTATGGCTCATGCAATGCCTTCCACATCCTTAATTTATCTTTTCAAATCATAATCCAATGCATGAATTTATTTGAACATATTTTATGTTGCCCTTTTTAGTCTACTGCCAGTAAGCATAGCGTCCGAACGACGCCAAAACTATGATGCAACCGAGCGTGTGCACAAATTAATGCACAACACTTTAGGTTTAGAAATAATGTCAAGTGGGCATTGTATTTTATAATTTATAAAACAACTAAACACTTATACTATCGAGTATGAAGCGAGTAGGGATCGTCCCAAGAGATCTTATAAATGTTGGTTTTTAGAATTGAATTCTACTTTAGTGCTTATGTGATTGCTAGAGAGAGGTTTGTTTTGTGATTAGAACTAATTTTAATCTAAATAATTTCAATAAAAAAAATAGAGTTTAAAAGATTATGAAAGAGACTTAGGGTATAGGATTCAATAATAATGTATAATCTAAATATGGCTAATAATTGCAATGAAAAGTGTTTAAACTAACTAAGCTTGAAATTAAACTAAGTGTTAATTAAACTAACTAAGCTTCATCATCTCTGAGCTTTTTCTTCCAAACCTTAGCCCGTTCTTCTGTTTCTCCTTTTTCTCGTGTTTTCCAGAGAGAACGATGATATTTTCGTTATAGAATATTAAAACTTAATTATAAAATAATTATAAAAAAAATACTCACTCAAATAAAATAATAACTAACCCTAAACTAATGGTTCACGGCCCTTAAGTAACAAGCCTATTAGAGCCCAATAGGTTACAAAATAAGCCCAAATAACAAAATCCCGTAACCATTAAAACAAGTCAATCCTGTAACTGGTCAGCTGCCAGTAAGCATGGCATCCAAACGCACCATGCCAATCAAAGATGGGTTATGCTTAGTCCTGAAATATATAATTTTCTGGAAGATATTGTAGTTGTTTTGCATTTCTACATAACATGGTTACATGTATAAGTTGTTCCCCAAGTTAATTACAATTAGGCATGTTTATAAGGCTTGTGATGAAGTCATTTCCCTAACCCTTATCTTTATTATCTTATTTATTTACAATCAAAATTTTAGTTCAGTAATTTTAGTTAAATGCAATTTATGTATGTGACAAGCAAAACAATCAATCAATTATATTTCACAAATCAAACCGAAAATTAATCTTACAATCTTGATTGCCAGAAGCTAGCATTCCTTGTGGTTCAACAAACCCTTATAATAGCCCTATTCTACATTGATATGTGCTATTGCAAGTGGTGATTTTAATTGGTAAACAAATTATAGCCATCAACTTTTGGTGCCGTTGCAAGGGAATGCACACGGTTTTGTGATTAAGATTTAAAGATTAAATTTAGTTTGATTTTTAGTTTAAGATTTTGTATATATTCTATTTTTAACTTGTTTTGGAGTATTTGAGTGCATTTATGTAGGTACAAGGGGCTGTTTTGCTTAAAAGGAAAATTCTGGAAATTCTAGAAATTTTAGACCCTTTATGAGTTTTCAAAGTTGAATTTATTTGCACTCTATACTCTATTTGTATATATTTTGTGTGAATTTTTTTTTTTTATGTATCTAAACAAGTGATTGAATTAGTCCTAAATGGAGGGTAATTATCCTTCAACTCATTTTTACATACCACATGAGTTATGTGCATTTTGTTCTAGTCATACACATAATACAAGGGATTGTCTTACAATGGGACAATTTTCTAGTTTTTATCAAGAACAAGAAAATGCAGATTTCTTTGAACAGGGGAATGATTTATATTTCAATCATTATGATCCGAGTTGGGGAGATCATCAAAACTTTTTTGTGGCATGATATGGGAAATTCAACCCCACAATCTCATGGGCAACATTTTCAATCACATTTTCAGCCCAATGATCATTATTTCCAGCCCTCTTCTCCTTTTTCACCATCTCAATTT